GTCAGTCAGAATGAGCGTCCAAACAGCTGATAAAAACATCACAATAATCCACAAGTAATTGTCATGAAGCGAAAAGATGCGTGTTTGTAAGAAACAAATCCATCATTAAGACATTTTTAACTTAAACCGCTGCTTCTTGCTAAAATATGAGTCTATAATAACGCTTTCTTCAGTGAAAAAGTTTTGTTTGACTCAGGAGAAAAATTTGCATCCGTTTAAAAGCCAGTTTAAAACAGCTCTAAACATATGTGGCTGGATTTTGATGTGAGAGACAACAGGAGATGGACTTTCCACTGGAAGAAGCATTATTATGGATTATGGACCTATATTTTGACCATGAAGTGATTGTTTAAATTTAAAACATCTTAATGCTGGATTAGTTTCAGATTTTGTCTTCTCCAGATGTTAACTGATGGACTGGAGAGCTGTGGCTTACTTGTGATGTTTTTATCAGCTGTTTGGACTCTCATTCTGACGGCACCCATTCACTGCAGAGCATCCATTGCTGAGACACTGATGCAGTGCTACATTTCTACAAACCTGATGAAGAAACAAACTAGATGACCTTGGAGTACATTTTCAGCTCGTTTATGTGCCAAAGCCAATGACTCGGCTCTAATCATCATTATTATCAACCTGAACCCTGAACATGCAAAAGATGCATGATACCATTTGAGCTGATTTCAGGACCGGATTCAGTCGTTCCATTTGTTTCTGTGTCACCTGAAGCTTCCAGAAAGAAATCGCTTTATAATGACAGGTGTAGAATAGTATATGCTACATTGCTGAAATGATGGGAACATTCTCCTTGGAAAAAGTAACCAGTAGAATTAGTGTGATAGTGGAAGGCCTTTTAAATGATTTGATGAACACAAAATTTTGCAGACATACAATTGTCCACATGGCACCCATTCACTGCAGAGCATCCATTGCTGAGACACTGATGCAGTGCTACATTTCTACAAACCTGATGAAGAAACAAACTAGATGACCTTGGAGTACATTTTCAGCTCGTTTATGTGCCAAAGCCAATGACTCGGCTCTAATCATCATTATTATCAACCTGAACCCTGAACATGCAAAAGATGCATGATACCATTTGAGCTGATTTCAGGACCGGATTCAGTCGTTCCATTTGTTTCTGTGTCACCTGAAGCTTCCAGAAAGAAATCGCTTTATAATGACAGGTGTAGAATAGTATATGCTACACTGCTGAAATGATGGGCACATTCTCCTTGGAAAAAGTAACCAGTAGAATTAGTGTGATAGTGGAAGGCCTTTTAAATGATTTGATGAAAACAAAATTTTGCAGACATACAATTGTCCACATGATTTATGGAGGACAATTGTCTCTGGTCCTCATGTCTTTGGGTGTGTTTATTTTTTAGCATTAAATGTCACTGGTCCGGCTTCCAAGAGCCAGATCCCCCAGCGTGGAGAAGAAGTCTTCCATTTCCTTCTCAAGGAGGCGATTGCGGTTTTCTGCGTCCTCACGGGCCCGTTCAGAGTTTCTCAGTTTGATCTCAAGCATTCGTTTTCTTTTTCTCTCCTGTTCCATCTCTTGCTCAAGTCTCTCCATCTGTGCACACAGGGCTGAACTCGACTCTTCCAGCCTGCAGAGGGCAGAACACAGATGTGTGAGTGGACAATACAGATATCACAACGCACAGTTACTTATGACAGGGGTTTTCAGACTAGGGTTACAGTACATTTTTATTTGTACAACTAACGTCATCCTAGTAGTGGGTTAAGGAAAACAATATGTGACTCTGTCTGTGAAATCCAGGCTGAAGTCTCAAAATCTAATTATGAGATAACAAGCATCAAAGTATGATTTCAATCTTTGACATGGCCTTACTCAGTCGATATCAAAGATATAAAGGTTATATTTTCACAGAATGTTCTACATCTTTATGAAGGAAACAGTAAATCACAAAAAAATGACTTTAGCTGGGTTTTCACAGGCAGGGTCACATATATTAAGAAATGATTAGAATTTGCTTTGTAAAAAAAAAAATATATATATATATAAATTGGTCTTTAAACAATTTTTTTTCTAAGATTTTGTGGATCACAAAAATGTTGTCTTCATAATATGTCACTTATTTCTCACATAGTATAAATGAGTATTTGTATATGAAATTATGTACATGTATTTTATAAATGTAGAATCTTTCAACGGGTCATATTATTTCTGCTTGCCTTCAAAACATTTGAAAACTCTTGACATAAAGGAACAGTTCATGAAAAATGAAAATTCTGTTTTCATTTACTCACCCTCAAGTTGTTTCCAAACCAATATTTTTCTTTCTTCTGCTGAACACAAAAAATATATATTTTGAAGAATGTTGGTAACCAAACAGTTGACGGTAGCCAATGACTTCCATAGTATGGAACAAATATTAATAATATGGTAGTCAATGGATACCAGGAACTGTTTGGTTACAAACATTTTTCAAAATATCTTCTTTTGTGTTCAGCAGAAGAAAGAACATATCTACATCACTGTGTGGGAAAATTTGCATAATACTGCCCCAATGTTGTTTATGCAAAGAAAGAAGGCGTAACTTTTATTCTCGCTGTAGTATTGTTGTCGTGGAGACGCTGTGTGTTTCCAAATATGGTAAGGGGCGTAACATTTCTGTCACACGCTTGAGGCATTCAGCCAATCACAATGCACTGGATAGCTGGCCAATCAGAGCACACCGTACTTTTCAGACAGATGAGCTTTATAAAAATCGACGCGTTTCTGAAAGACAGGGCAGAGAGGAGCGACAATAATGTACAGTATGTGGAAAATAATGTGTTTTTAACCTAAAACCATGTAAACACATTGCATTACACCAAATACACCAATTAATGTTATTTTTAGCATCGCCATATGACCCCTTTAAATATATAGGTGTCATTTTTAAACGATTTCAACCGCCCTTGTCATTTAAAAAACAGCAGCCTTACTTTTTAATTCTAGATTCATAAGTCTGTTTCTGCTTCCTCAGCTCTTCTTTCAGTTTTGCCACGACGCTGACCAGAGACGAAGGACTTTCGTCTGCATCTCCGTCTTCATCCACGACTCTAATGACTGGTGCGACGCTCCCATTGTCACCGCAAAACAAACCGCTCGCGCGCTTCTCCTCAGCGTCCTCCTCGTGTTCGCCGGGCTTGGCTTCCTCCTCACTCCGTTCCTCCGGAGCGCTCGGCCTGTCTTCTGTCCCCAGCGGCTCGCCTCCAGAGTCTGTGACGGAGATCTCACAGGATGAGGTGGACCACGGCGTGCTGTCCATACTCAGCACGCTGCCCAGACTCGATGAAGACATGACGTTGTCGTAAGTAGACAGTCTCTGAGAGGAGCCCGAGTCCCTGGAGCGTTCGCCAGACGAGGTTCGGCAGTGTACCCTCAGTGAGGACAGACCGTTCATTAACCAGTTCCCACCGTCCACCGCGGAGGCTCCTTTGGCCGAGGAGCCTTTGAAGGTGTACTTCCATCCTGGAAGCGTCTTGGCCTGCTTACTAGGGCTGACGGCTGTCTCTCCCTTTCCCTGAGGCGAGGGCTTGGAGGCCAAAGCGGCGTCCGCAGACGGGCAGGTGTGGAGATCCTCCTCAGAGATCCAGTCCACCAGGTTGGACTGCTGAAGTTGCTGGCTTTGGTCCTTGAGCTCCGTCTGGTTCTGAGATGTTTCTGAGTCTTTTTCAGTGTACAGGCGCTCGTGTTTGCTGATGAGCAGCGTCATGAGATGCTGAACAAGGGAGGTGCCTATAAAACACACACACACACACAATGCTGTATTCCATAATCCTCATCTATAAGTGGTTTAAGTCGTAAATTAGGATGTAAAGTCCTAAAAAAATAGGTGAGAAACAGTTTTCACCCAGAAATAGTCAATTTCACAAAAAACTACAAAGAACTAGTAAGTATTAGTAAAGAAATCAGTAGAAAGACTGAAATAGTATTTTCTTGTAAAATGTACTCTTATAATCTTTGTTTTATTTATGACTTTGAAAAAGCATTTTTTACATTGTGGTTGGTTTGTAACTTGTAACTTTGCACTTATTTTTGTTGCATCATTAGTTCTTAAGTCAGAACTTAATGTTTATGTAAACGTGTAGTTCCCTTTCTGTCGTTCACTATGAGTTATGTCGTGACGACATAGGGGTCTTACTTGGGAGCCCGAAGCCTCTCTGATTAAGAGAAAATGGCAATAAAAATTGGCTAGTGGATTTTGCAAGCTGAGCCACTCCCAGTGCACACGGTATAAATAGGTGGCAGATGCATCCACTCATCCGATTTTTGCTTCGGAGCCGAGTGAATGAGCTACACAGTTCGGGATTCACCAGGCGAATTCTCTTTGCTGGAAGAAGAGGCTGTTCCGGGTGGCGTTACGGCACAATCAGCGGCGTCCCTGTTGAGTCAGCGATTCCCCTAGGTGCTTCATCTAAAAGAGCAGTTTCTGATCACGGTCGGTCTTTTTAAAGATGCAGCTCTGTCCGTATCCTCTTGTTTGCGGTCATTACCTGTCCTCTGTCAACGATCGTTGTCTTCAGTGTCTGGGCATCCAGCACGCTGAAGCTGCGTTCGTGGATGGTTCATTGTGAGCGTATGACCATGACAGCGCTGCGATCTCGCCTCTCTCTCCTCAAAGGGGTGGGAGGGGCACCTTCTGTCACTACCCATCCCGGTTTCTCTGCCACGAGCAGAGGACCGCCGGCTAGTGCTCTGGGTGATCTGAGGGTTACAGTGAAAGCCTCTCTGCCAGGCCAGTCCCCTCGGACCTCTCACTCCTCCCGCAGCAGCTGTTCTGTGCGGCTCCACGGTGATTCTGCTGAGCCGTCCCATGGCGTGCCGATAGAGGATCAGATGTCGATAGCAGCATCGGGGGATGGCTGGGTGCTTCCCTGGGTGTAAAAGAGCAGTTTATGATCACGGACGGCTCGCGTCTTTTTAAAGACGTCCCGTTGGTTGCGGTCGTTTCCTGTCCTCCGTCGACGGCCACGATCGTTATCTTCAGTGTCTGGGCATCCAGCACGCTGAAGCTGCGTTCGTGGATGGTTCATTGTGAGCGTATGACCATGACAGCGCTGCGATCTCGCCTCTCTCTCCTCAAAGGGGTGGGAGGGGCACCTTCTGTCACTACCCATCCCGGTTTCTCTGCCACGAGCAGAGGACCGCTGGCTAGTGCTCTGGGTGATCTGAGGGTTACAGTGAGAGCCTCTCCGCCAGGCCAGTCCCCTCGGACCTCTCACTCCTCCCGCAGCAGCTGTTCTGTGCGGCTCCACGGTGATTCTGCTGAGCCGTCCCATGGCGTGCCGATAGAGGATCAGATGTCGATAGCAGCATCGGGGGATGGGCTATCGTCCTCTGAGGATAAAGATTCGGCGGGGCTGCCCACCTCAGGTGTTGTCCCCACTGCCGAATCGGACCCAGAGTTGACGGCCATGCTTTCCCGGGCCGCCGTGAGCATCGGGCTGGAGGTGTCTTAATGAAGGTCGTGGAGGGCGCCCTTGCTTGACACGCCGACGTGTCGCCACTCATTCAGCCCCTGGGTAGACCTTACCTTTCTATGGGCTGGAGTGCCCTTAGAGCAAGTGTCCCGGCATGTCGTTGTCACGACAGATGCCTCCAGCAGGGGCTGGGGCGTTACATGCAACGGGCAGGCAGCCTTGGGGCTCTGGACAGGGCCTCGACTGCTTTGGCACATCAACTGCCTCGAGCTGTTGGCAGTGCTTCTAGTCTTGTGGCATTTTTGGCCACTGCTTCATGACAAGCACGTGTTGGTACGCACGGACAACACTGCGACTGTTTTGTACATCAACCGACAGGGAGGTCTACGATCATGTCGCATGTCTCACCCGCCTTTTCCTTCTTGGGTTGGAAATTCAATAATAAGTGCTTACCTTCCATAATAGCTACTGGATCCTCCAATTTGGGACGGAGGATATTTGGTCCAAACACGGTGGCCAGGTTTTGCACACCCATTTTATTTTCATGTGCGTGAGACTGCACCTCATCCAGAAATCTACAACGACAGAGTTCACTTTCAGCACTGAAGCATGAAAACGACTGACAGAAATGTGTCTGAAATGATTATGTTGGACATACTTGCATATATATTTCAAAAGGTTGTAATTGGCAGCTGGAAGGGTCGTCACTAGCTTCCCTAATTCTTGTATCCCCTGTGGAAACATGAAGTCACTAAAGCGACCAAAA